GGGTTTGATTATTGTTCAAACGAGTCAGATATCTTGTTTATTAAGCGAAATATGATAAAATACGTAATATGGTGTAAATATGGCGGAATTTTCCCGCCAAAATTTATCCTATCAACAAGTAGCTTCAACAATATCAAGATATTCATTTGGAGTAAAATGGATTTAATAATGCATTGGACAATTAATGATAACAGCTCATTGTTTACTTAAGTACTGCATTTGATTATGTATGGATAGCCATGCACCATTAATGATATGTAGATGTATTGAGGTTGATACCGATTGTTGTTCAATCTGATCAATTAATGTCTACCATAAATTGAGCTGCATAGCAGTGAACAGTTTGCAATGTTATTTCTTTGATTACAGCTGGAAAGTCTTCTCTAAGAAGGGATTAAATGAGTGCAAGAATCCAGAGACTACTCTAGATGCCCCGATTGCCGTAGGTGGTGCTGAGACGTCGCAATGCTGGCCTCTAAGCGTGACATATTTCCACAGTTGCTGTCTTCTACAGAATATCACTAATTTTTCAGAATTTCCCAGGTTGAAAAAGGAAAAGATGGCATAAAACACTTTTTTATTAAAAAATTACATCATTCCTTCATGCAAAACTATTGCTTCAACTTACACATGACCAATACCTGCATCCTGAAGAAGCATATAGCATTAACATCATAAACCGACAAAACTGGTAGCCCGTAACACTGCCTAAGTCCATATATTATACTACACTAAACTAATAACATGGCACTACATTACTGCATTTCTCTTCTACTAATGGCTTACATGGCTCTTCACTGCTCCTTAAGAACTGCCTCTCTTCTTACAAAAAGCAGTGAATGTTCCCTTCAAAGCGTATTATAATCAAAAGAAATACAACTTCATAAAATGGTTAAGATTCTACATACTGCCTGATCACTCTTTCCTTACTGGGTACTATGTGTGTCTGAGATTAATGTTGAGGTTTAAACTGCTTTTCCTCATGTCTCTTGTTTTCATAATGTGCATGAATGTAAATACATAGACTCAGATCTCCATTCATATAATAATTGTTGTGCATGTTTGTGTATGCTTGTGTGTGTGTGTGGTCATGAATACAATAATACATGTATTGGAATATATATCATTTACTTATATATCATGGCCAAATTTATACATAACAGACTACAGTTCTAAGCCTCATAAATCTGAACGGCTTTTCAGGCCTTTTAGTTTTTAATTATCTCAGCTAACATCTGCTAAACAATACCTCACAGTTTCTTTATACAGACATGGTATATGTAGTTATGCATATACGTGTGTGTGTGTGTGTGTGTGTGTGTGTGTGTGTGTGTGTGTGTGTGTGTGTGTGTGTGTGTGTGTGTGTGTGTGTGTGTGTGTGTGTGTGTGTGCATACATACATACATACATAAACATATATATATAAATATATATATATAATATATACATAATATATATATATATATAATATACATATATATAATATATATATGTAATATATATATTTATGTATAATATTTATATATAATATATAATATGTATATATATATATATATATATATATATATATATATATATATATATATATATATATATATATATATATATATATATAAATATATATAAATATATATATATATATATATATATATAAATATATATATATATATATATATATATATATATATATATATATATATATATATATAATATATATATATATATATATATATATATATATCCATATACATACAAGTAATATACACAGTCAATATACACCATATTATACTTGCACAGTGTCATTCCTTTTCAAAGATATATCATACCAATAGTACAGTTTAGTAACTTTCCTCATCATGTCTCTGAAATCTTCCACAGACACATGTACACAGGTGCAGAGCCACATGAACATGCCCAGAGACACCCACACAGGCATGCATAAATATGCCTAAACTCACATCTACACACACAATGTATCTATGGAGTGTATATCCATATAAACAATCAGTATGTTACGTGTACTCGTACTTGGGCATGAATATAGTGTATGAAGCCTCCTGCTGCACATAATTTTTATACCCCTTTTTTAGATAAGCACATTATATACACAATTATAATGATAAGGCCTCAGTTAAGGCTACAGCAAAATGCCAGTAGCTGTCCTTGAATAGGGGAGTTAGTGGGCTTTGTCACAATGGCTATGACAGCTTAAAGAATATGTAAAGAAATAGAGATAATGCAGATTTGATTTACAGACGTCATTCAACAAAGGATAATGCAGGTAATGATAGAATTTGATTGAATAAAAACAAGCTAATATTCTTTTTCCATAAATGGAATCCAGAGTATGATAAGCTAAGTTATTTATAGATGCCAGTTCATTGCCAAAATTGTCTCATAGCTGGACTGAAAATTGTATTTAAAACAAATAAATGTTTTCCATATTCTGATACATGTTTTTCTTATAGTGAAATAGCACTAGAAGAGAGTGCAGTTGTGATAGAATTGTACAGATTTATACATAGATTTCTGTAGAGTTTTATGCATAAGAGAGTGAAGACAACATCCTATTGTAGGTTCCAGAACATGTATCATGGGGCAATTTAAGTAGCTCAAAGAATTAATTAATAATAAAAAAATAGAAATTAAACAAAGAGATTATTTGGAAAGCTACACTGATTTGTTATACACATTTAAATTCCTTTCTAGCAAAATGAAGTGGAGTATACTAAATCAATATTGATTTATTTGGTATTTTCTTCTTTAATTTAAAGTATTATTTGATATCTTTATTGAGTGAATGAAACTCAATTGACTGAGTTCAAAATAGGGATAGTAAGATATTCCATTTGATAGTAATGATAACTTGAGAAACTCTGAGGAGATACATCAACAACAGTTATTTGAAAAAAGTTACATTATATTATACACATCTTCAATATATCAAATGTAGTTATATTTTTTTTCTCATCATATACTCATGTTGAGAATGGAAGATAGATATATATATATATTTATTCATTTTATATATTAAAAGAAATAGTTGTTATTTTGAGGCACAATTGTAAGGTCTGGACCATCTCTTTTTACAATGAAGTTTAGAATTAGTTTTGAATATGAAACCTTTTTTATTTACTCAAACTTAGTTTTACTCAAAATCATGTTAGCTGAATCTCTTTTTAATAAAAAGCAAAACACATTGGATATGAATTAATGTTTTTGTTTGCCTTCTTTATATCCTTTATAACCATCAATCACATTTCATAGCATAGGAAATGAAGGAAAATAATGCTGTGAAATGTGCATAACATCAGTTCTATAAAATCAGAAGACTCTTGCAACAGACATAAGAACATTAAAAATATCTTCTCTTTTCTATTGGTTTTCTGGCTGTAAAATGATCACTGAATATCAAAATTTCTGCTGAGGCATTATCCTTATGGTTAACCCTTCCACAGGCAAGTATGTATAAAGACCCCAAGAACTGCATATGGGTTTACTGACGTGGCAATGGCAAGTCCGAGGAATGGTGGTTTTCGGCAAGTGTAAGAGTATGTACATGCTGGGAATATTTGTTCAGATTTTTGGGATTGGGGAAGAATATTGTTCTTTTTCAAGTACACTGGCCAGGTACTTATCTTTCAATTGATCAGTAGAAATTGGAAATACAATATAATAAAAGCCAGTGAAAGGGTTAAATTCATTCTAGATTCTATGCAAAGATCTTACATCATCAAATATCTTGACTATTCATTGTCCAAATGTAACTATGTGGCCCTAATCTGTTTATATATATTTTATTTTTGAAACTAAGACACATGGTAAAGCTCAAATGATTATTCCAAAGCCAGTTATACATTTACATCCAAGCTATTTAAGCAACACTTATAACACATACCAGACTACATGTCACTGATTCCCAGATTCTGAGGTTTGGTTAAAGTCTATCATTTGGAAATATTGCAATTTTTTTTTCATTGCAGGAGTATATGCAAAAGCTTTGAGAGAGGGTGAAACTTATGGAGCAAGCATATCAGTTACTTCTCATCAATATATTGAGAAATGAGCAGTTTGACGTAATATGATATATTGATTTTTCTTTGGAGAAATTACCTAACTCTTTGAATTACAAGTTAAAAGTCATGTTAATCATACCACCACATGCATTAAAAAATACAAATATATGTAAGTTTATTACCATTTTGAAGGAGAACATTCCTTGATTTTAGAATTACCAGTGCTGGTGTCTTTTTTGTTATCAGAAGTTGTATATTTTTTAATTGTTATTTTCATCACATGTTCA